GTCGTTGGGACTGGCGCACAATATTCCCTTCCAGGTCGGAGATATTACCGTTTACCTCCAGATCCATGTTATTAGGGATCCGGCCTACGACATTTTATTGGGACGTCCCTTCGATGTATTAACGGAGAGTTGCATCAAAAATTTCAAAAATGAGGACCAGACGATCACGATCAACGACCCCAACTCTGGAATTGTGTCCACTATCCCGACATTTCCAAGAGGTCGCCCTCGATTTCGAGGCCCCGCCTCTAGAGCGGGATGATTTATTTTTAGGCGACTCAGACGAGGAGCAGTGGGCGGCCCTTGTCATCGAAGAGACAGATACCCCCGCCCGGTTTCAGATTTCTGCGTTCCATATTTTAGGTGATCAAGAAAATAGCAAAACCTCAATACAAAATTCCATTCCTTTCCTCTATCTTTCCGCCTATTCACCAGTTCCGATTTTTGCTGCCACAAAGAAAAAGTATAAACCAGTCGCCAAAAAGGTCCGAGCGGTCCCTGCGACGTTGCCCAAGGAGTATAGAATCCAGCGCAATATTGTAGGAGATCCGCTGGCCGACATGCCGATTTTATCCCCAATTCCCCCTTCCTTCCAGCCAACCGGACGATATTCACAAGAGCATAGGGATGCGCTACACAAGGCCCATCCTAGCGGATTCCTTACGGAAGCGGAGCTAAATCTAATGGACGAGTTTATGTGCAAGCACGACCAGGCATTTGCCTGGAACGACTCGGAGCATGGCCAATTTTGCAAGGACTTCGTTCCTCCCATTGAATACCCAGGTACCTCGGACCACTTATTACAGTGTCGAGGAACCGTGGCGGAGCTTATATTCTTGCTGAACTCGATGATACGCTCTTCGATCGACCCTTTGCTGCGTTCGGCGTCATTCCCTACCTCGCAAGAAAATCCATTACGCTCCCGGAGGATTTTACAGATGTTGGCGAGGATCAAGTACGAAGGATGGAAGAACAGGATGATCATGGGGACGATGAAGACGAAGCGAACTGAGGACAGTTCAGATTTCAGTCAGGGGGAGGGAAGCGATGGGCTCCATATACCCAGGCATTTTCGCATTTTTCTTCGCACTTGTTTCACTCACTTTATTTTGCTCCGCTCCTTGATTCGTGCTTTAGTTAGGACACACATAAAATACAAATATCTCCCATCACCCCATCGGACAGTTCGCAAGCTAT